GGCAAGTTTCCTACTTGCTTAATGCCTCAGTTTCTTCATCTGAAAAAAAATGAGGATAATAGTAGTACTTACTTCCTAACATTGTTTTGAGGATCAAATGACTTATAACAGTGTATAAAATGCTTGTACCAGCACCTTGAACACAATAAATGCTGTATGTGTGTTCCATTTGCATTAGTGGCAAAAGGCATTTCAGGCAGAAATGAAGAAAACTTAACTCGGGGTGTCCATTTCTGTTAAAAGAATAACTTTATACAAATCTGATTTAACAGAGTTTAACTGCACAAAGAATGATTCACAAATTGGGCAGCCTCCCAAATCAGAATAGGTACAGAGAGATTCCGTGCTGCCTTGTGGTTGGAGAGGATTTATGGACAGATAAAGGAAAGTGACACACAGAAAACAGAAATGAAGTACAGAAACAACCAGATTAGTTAAGGTTGAACATTTGCCCTATTTAAAGATAGTTTGACCTGTTGGCCACCATTTCCTTAGATTGGCCAAAACTTGGTGATGAGCTAGAGAGCAAGTTATAGCTTGTTTGCACGTCTAGTTATGTTACAGTTCATTGTGTACAGAGAAACCTTTAGTCTGAACTTAGATTATGTAGGTAGACAGCTTTAGGCTAAACTTAATTTAACACTCTGCCTTTTATGATAACATTATTCATATGTGCTGGGTTCTTCTTAGAAGATATCTGTCCCTGTTTGTTACAAAGGGGCAAAGCGAAAGAGATACAGGAAGTGGACAAGTATGTTTTCAGAGCTAGAAGCCTAACTTCAAAAAAACCTGTGTAGAATTTCTCTGCTCTCTGACTTCAATATTTAATTAATTTCAAGGAATTAAATTGCTAATACTTTCTAATTGGGCCAAGTCGACTTTGCCATTGTTCTCTCATCCCTCACCAAAACCCATTTGTTTAAGGAACCATGTAAGGTCTTGGACAGGGCTTTAGTGCATTCTATAAATTGGATTCTGTATGTCTGTAAATTATGCTGACAGGCACTCTTATAACACAATGAGGTCAAAACAGTCTCACTGAAAATGGCCTTTTTATGCTGTACTCAAGCCAAAAACAAGGAAGAAATCATAAAGGTACCTTGCTATGTGAGCAATTAAATCCAAAACAATGGTTACCTTTCAACCAATCTTAAAGACAATAAATGATACAAATTCTTAAAGCATACAGCAAGAGAGACCAAAATATGCCTACAATTACCTAAATGAAACAAAACAGTATAAATGCCATGAGACAGAGTCAAAGTTTAGCTTGAAAGAACATAGCTGAATTGAATTGATCTATTGATATTTCATTCATTTGTTTAACTGCTATTTAGGGAGTGCCTGCTCTGTCCTCCATGAAGGGATGCTAATATCTATAAACTCAATTCTTCATTAATTTCCAGGTTACAGGGTAGAAAGTGGAAGTAGCTTCAGCTTTTGAGAAAAATCTCAATTAAAACCAATGAATGAAATCTAGACTGGAGCAAATAATTTATCATCTCTTAGCTTCATTTCAGAAATTAGAGTGTTATCTTTGATTTCCTCTTCCAAACTCATCCTACATATAGTCCATCAACACATGAGTCCTTAGCTATGGTTTTACTACATCCCATCCTCTTCATCCCACATCCCCAGTTCTAACAACCTCACACAATTAGAATCCTCCTCCATAACACACTCTGCACCTCTCTAACTATTTGCCCACTGCATGCCTCTGTGCCTTTGCACATGCTATTCATGCCAACGCTTGAAACATTATCTCTATCCTCGCTCCACGAATCCCACCCGGAAAATAAAAAAATATTACCATCCTTGTACAGTTGACACAAATATTTCCCTTATGAAGTGCTCCTTGAGGACACTAGGCACAAGAAATTGTCCCATACTGTGACATTCACAGTATGTCTTATGTATTTTTTTTATACTAACACACTCCCGTGACATTGTTTGTATCTATGCCCATTGCTTCAATACGACTGAATACTCGAGGCCAAAGACAAAGCCTTTCACCTTTGAATTCTCAGTTCTAACATCATGTCTGCCATGGAGAGGCTGTGCAATAAATATTTATGGTAGTAATGAAGTCAGATTTAGGGAAAAGTGGAAAGAACCAAGAAATGCTTTGTGGAAGAGGTGGCATTAATGTAAGCTTTGAAAAGCTTTGAAAATATTTCCTGAATTTTAAACATGCAATTTTGAGATGTTCAGCGTTTTAACATACAAAAACTAGTATGCTTATTTATTTGTTTATTTATTTATTTATTTGAGACGCAGTCCCTCTCTGTGATGCAGGCTTGAGTGCAGTGGCATGATCATAACTCACTGAGCCTCGAACTTCTGGGCTCAAAACATCCTCTGGCCTCAATCTTCCTAGTAGCCAGGACTACAGACATGCACCACTATGCCCAGCTGATTTTTTTAAGGAAACTTTTTAAAGATAGGGTCTTGCTATGTTGCCCAGTCTTGAACTCTTGGCCTCAGGAGATCCTCCCATGTAACTGGGATTACAGTGGAAAGAACCAAGAAGTGCTTTGTGGAAGAGGTGGCATTAATGTAAGCCTTGAAAAACTTTGAAAATATTTCTTGAATTATAAATATGCAATTTTGAGATGTTCGATGTTTTAACATACATAAATGAGTATGCTTTTTATTTATTTATTTATTTATTTATTTATTTATTTATTTATTTATTTATTTATTTGAGACACTGTCCCTCTCTGTGATGCAGGCTGGAGTGCAGTGGCATAATCATAACTCACTGAAGTCTTGAACTCCTGAGCTCAAAAGATCCTCCTGCCTCAGCCTTCCCAGTAGCCGGGATTATAAACATGCATCACTATGCTCAGCTAATTTTTTTTTTTTTAAATTTTAAAGATAGGGTCTTGCTATGTTGCCCAGTCTTGAACTCTTGGCCTCAAGAGATCTTCCCATGTAGCTGGGATTACAGGCATGAGCCACCAAGGCTGGCTTAATTCTCTCTTTATTATATATGCATTTTGCCAGCTGAAGCTGTGTCTCCTATTCAAGGCCCTAGGTACAGTGCTCTGTCTGAGAGTGGTGAAGACTTAATAAATATGTTAATTATCCAACTTAAAGAAACATCCTCCTCCTGTATCTTAGAGGAGAGAGACAATTAATTTCTGAGAGTCACCATCCTGACTTTCGAATACTATGTGAAATAAAAAATACTAGCCTTCTTAACTGGGTCATAGATGACCTTCCTTATGGTTCTACTCCATGCATTTTAGCAAATAGAAATGTTGGTATTCACCCTGTATGTTTAATTTCTCCTGAACATATTAAAATATATATAAGTAAGTATACCTCTAAACCACAGTGGAAAACAAGTGAAAACCTTGAGCATCTTACTGCTGTTCAGTTAAACTCTCCTTGGGCAGACCACCGGAGTCTGAGCATAAAAAGTATCAACTTGGACACCTTTCCACCCCAGATTATGTCCATTTGTGGTTGTCAGGGTTGGTTAAACCCCTACCTACTCTGGTAAATTTTTAAAACATCTGAATTATAAACAGAATTAAAAATACTATCTGAAACATTCTATTCTTACCTTATCTATTAGATGTTTCCACATATCATTTAAAATATAGAAGAAAAACATGAGCACCAGTAAAGAAATTGTCAGTTACAGAAGTCCAGAACAGAGCAGAGGAAAACAAATGGATACTGTCTCGGTCTGCGTAAGGAAAATGACCCTCATCATTCTAAGCATTCATATTTAATAATGTAAATTTTCTGATTTTGGTACCCTATCATGGTTAGGAGCCAGGTTAGTGGTCCTTGGGACCTTAGTGTTGTATTTCACAAGAAAGAGCTCTGTGTAGAAACCTGTGTTATCTGTAAATCTTCTTCTACTAGGAAATCTCCGCATAATCAGAAAGGTATTGGCTAAATTGGAGCAGCTTACGCAGTATCTAGAGGAAACACTGTTAAGTGGAACAGAGTAGAATCGGAGTTGCACCTACAGGTATGTGGGCATAATTTAAGGGGTGGACTATGAGGCAAACTTGGAAAGGGAGGGCTGGTTCACCTGTTTCCTTTCCTCCTGTCAAATGCTGAAAGGCTGTTCCCAGCCTTTGAGCATCTGCACTTGGGGAATTTCCAGCTGGGTTCTCAGCCGGCATTCTTCCGTCGACTCGCTCCAGGCCCAACTGGATTTCTTTGCAAGGGCAGGCAACTTTTTCGCGGCAAACCCTCAGACCTACTCGCGTTCTCACACCTCTGCCCCTAGAGCCAGCAAGGGCAGAGCAGAAGGGGCCCAGGAGGGCCTCAGAAGGGGCGGCGGGGACGCTCCCCTTTCAAACCGCCTCTGTAGCCGCCGAGGAGTAGCCAACAAGCACCAGATTTATGTGCACTTTGAAAGAAGCACCTTCACCATTGGCTTTTTCAGCGGCGCTGTCGCTAGGGAGCGGCCGGTAGCGAAGACAGCACAGCCTCGGGGAGAAGCCCGGGCTGTTGGCTCCCGCCACCTGGGAGAGGGGCCACACACACACGCGGGCTCGCGCGCGGGGACGCACAGCCAGCCTCGCGCACAGGCCGGGGCGAGTTCGAGCCCCGCGGCCCCCATCCGCCGCGAGCGTCCCTCGGCGCGGCTCCGGGCGGAGCAGCAGCCCCTCCGCGGCTCGCCTCCCGCCCCCTGATTCCTGCGGCTGCCGCCCAGAGGAAGCAGGAGCCTCTGCCTCCAGTTCCCCCCGGGCGCCGGGCGCG